TATATTGCCTCTCGAGCAGGTCCTGGTGCCACCTCTGGTGGGATTGGGGTCATTAAAGTACCCCACAATAAGAAAAGGGGCGGGCAACTGAGAAAACGCATCTTTAAGTGCTTGTTGTGACACGACTTGGCCAGGAGGAATGTATATATTGGACACCGTTAGAGAAAAGGACGGAAGGTGAAACCGAACGCATACAGTTTGAAAGTCGGTTTGAACGTTTTGTTCCTCAGAGAAAAAAGAGTAACGGATAAGTACCTCGACATCACCGTGAGCACGGAGTTTGTCATCATGATCAAACCAATAGATGTTAAACCCGCGAAGACAGAGGGAATGATGGGGAAGATGAGTTTCCTGAAGGCAGACTATAGTTGGGTCAATGGCGAGAAATCAATCTTTATTCTTCTGAATGGGCACGAAAGCCGTTTAGAGAGAACCATTGTAGGGAATTACTTCTTAGGCTTTTTCTTTCTCTCCTTCTGAAAAGTTGAGGTACTCCCGTGGTGCTCCTCAACAAACGACAGACATACTGACTGTTCCTCGAGGTGGTCGCCTGTGTTGGGGTGATTTCCCATTATTTTGCCTCAGGCGACCGAAATCTATATGGACTGGAGGATCAGTGAATGCGAGTCTTGGAAGAAGTAGGAGGACGGGACTTAGGGAAAGAAATTTTGTACAGAAGCAATATTTCACTTGAATCTATTTCCTTAAGGGTCGCAGTGGAGGTGAACTGTGTCTGGTGGAGTTTATAGCTTGGTTTTTTAAACTTTGATGGTATTGATGGTGGATCTTTCCACCGTGAATGCACGCCGTATCATCAGGGAAGTCTATAGGCCACACCTGACAACTGAAGTGTGCTACTAGAGCAGGAGCACATTGTGTTTGACAACTCGCTGTTACCCCTGAGGACTTGATCTTTAAAGTACTGGAAATCGATTGTGACAGGTCTACTGGATTTCTAGCTTGATGCCGGCGTTTGGCCTCAGGGAAGCAAACCTTTTCGGTGATTCTTATCTTTTGAACTGATTGTAGTTGGCTGGGTGGTCACCTTCACAATTGACCCAGTGCGGTGGTGTAGCGCAGGAGTGTGGATCGTGTACTGATGCACCGCACTTCTCGCACACTGGGCGACACGACATACATCCTTGTTGGGTATGCTCAAACCTTTGACATTTAAATCAGCGTGAAGAATTTGGTACATACTGTCGCACATGGAGGTTGTAGAAACCACAACTGATCCTTTCCGAGAGAGACGGTCAGTCAAAGGTAAGAATCAGGGTTGAAATAAGAAGCACTTTTCCATGCTCTTTCCTTTTAATCCTATAAACTTCAGTCACGCCCTGATTCGTGGAAAATGAAATTAGTTTACGACGCCTTTTCAAGGTTGGGTGCGTCGTTACTACCACCTGGAGATCGGCAATCTGCTTGTTTTTTTAAGTAATTTGTCTATTTGCTAATCGGTGCGTGCTTCAAAGAGAATCCATTCCTCTGTCGCACGACCGCTTGAACTTCCAATATGCTTCCTCTATGGATCACGCCAGACGGACAGCACGTACGTTTTTAAAGGATTTTTCTTGCTCGGCGCATGCCATGAGGAAACGAGGCTTTTTCGGTCGGTCATATTTTGCAAAAATTAATAGTTCGTTACGTATATGTCCTCTTCCTTGTTGAAGAGGGCGGGGAAGAAGGTTCAGTATCCATGGAGATAGATTCATCCCCGTGGTCCACACCCACCACGGATCCCTACAAGGGGACACTTCACCTGAGTGCCAGGATTGTCACGGGGATATAGAGGGGGGATGACACACCCCTGTTTCGCCGTGGATCCCTCCAGTCATCCTGAAGTTCAGTACAATACCTATTCCGAGCCGATTGATCAGGAGTGGGTTAGCTCCCAACTGCCCTTCTACACAACTTCCGAGCCAAAGCATTGGTCTTGGAAACTTACATGGAATGTTCCACAATATACGTTAACAATGTATCCCTAGATGCAAAGAAGGAAGTAGCACAAGGAAACAAACAAGTCCCTCATTTGCCCCGACACACATTCCCTCCGATACGGGTCGCCATGCACGGCACACACATGGGTGGACGTTCTGCATACAGGGGGCAGTGAAGTGGAAGAGGTAGAAGAAAAGAGGCAGGATGTTATCAAAGAATGATAATGAACGATGGATAAGGATGACTGGTAAAATAAAGGATAACTTGACGGCCTTCCCTGCATTCCCCCAACAGGACGTGGACAGACCCACCTCGACGGGTCATCTACGGAGAAACGAGTATTGTAATCTTTCTCTACGCGACTCGCCAAATCTAATATACAGTACTTCGTTCTTCTTATGGTGATCAGAAAGCTAGGATTGCGTTGTCAAGACTATGCGCATTCTCTTTTCAAATAACAATTCTCGTGAAAAACGCTTATTTCCATCTGTATTCAGATGATTGAGTTTAAGGGCGCTTCAACAGTTGTCATTGGCACCCGTGACGAATTATTTTGAGACCAGTACGCATTGTGAACCTAAAATGGTTTAAAATGGATAGTACTTCACCTAGGGAGTACACGACCTTGACGTTGGTGGTGGATCTTCAGTACCCCCGTGATGCGGGGAGCTACGCCGGCGGTAGCGTAGCTACTGGTAGGGCCTAGGGGTCAGACGAAGAAATACTCCAGAAGAGGACGGGAGCGCAAGAGGAGAACATCCGGTACATTGCGCTGAAGAGGATCTCGAAACGACGAAGAGTTAGGCAGTAATCTTAGCCTACATTTCTAAGGAGGGATGAAAGGTACGGGTATGATCTCGCCAACGGAACAAGATTCCAAAAGAGATCTGGGCAGGAGGAGCTCAAAAGCTCGGTGAAAGCCATCCTCCTAGGGGAGTAAACCCTAAAAAAATCCTGATCCTTCTAGTAGGGGGTTGTGACGATGGACTAGCTCCTCGTCGTCCACGTAAATAGTAAGAAATGCTAAAAGGTCTAATCATAAGAAATCGGACGGTAATCGGAGAGGAACTAGGCAAAGGAAATAGACAATGAATATTACAACATGGAATACTCAAGGTTTGGGAAATAAGATACAGGAGGTAATTAAGGAACTTCAAGTTTTAAATATGGATATTGCAAGATTAAGTGAGACAAAGAAAAAGGGTTCGGGTATAGAATAGATTGGATCCTATTCATATTTGGCGCGGAATACCAAAAGATCAGAGGGGTAGTAAAGGGATTTCCGAAGTCATTTAACTAAATTCAGAAAGCATATTAAAAGTTGGGAAGCCATAGACGAGAGGCTGATTAAAGTAAATTTGGAAAGTTTTAGATACAAAATGACTATTCTTGGAATTGTATGCGCCGAATGAAAATTAAGATACTAGTATTTTGGAGGAATTTTACTCAAATATAGACGGAGTAATCAGTGAACGTGGGCTAAATAGAGAACTTATCTTATTGGGAGATTTTAATGCTAGAGTGGGAAAATCTCAGTGTTCAAAAGTCATTGGACAACATGAAGTAGCCAACGAATTTGTAGCCATCATAGCGGTTAGCCACGTGGAATCAAGATCATAAAGAAAATATATATTCCTTACACGTTAAGTGCTAATGTAAATTTTAAAGTTAGAATAAAATTGTAAATCATCAATTATATTTATTACAATTCTTTTTAAATATGACTTTTCATTGTTTACATGACTATTTGCACTACTTTAAAATAAATGCCTGTCTGAATGCCTATTTTAGTAAAAATAAACGCGTATTTGCCTATTTAAGGTAAAATAAGTGCTCGAACTTCCAGGCTCTATTCATCTTAAAAAAACAATCCGTTGGCCGAAAAACAGTCTCAATTTTTGAAATTATTTTTTATATTCTGAAATCAATGGAGATAAAAGGACCAGTTTGAAATTTCGTGAAAAAAATGTGGAATGCTTAATCGATCGACAAATAAACTTGCTTGTAAGAAAAGAACGAAACCACAACAATTTTCATTATGTTGAAGCACTTCCACCAATCGAGAAAAGATGCGACCAACAAAGCCATGTAGTTTGTACTAGACAGAATAAAAGGCGTGGAGATCGTTATTTTTATCCGGCAAATGAAGAAAAACCAGCGCTTACATGGATGGCCGAGGTGTGTAGAGCGTGTGCTGACTCGGCACCTCGGTCGGAAGGTTCGCGGGTTAGCCGTGGGCATGGATGTTTGGCCGTTGTCTTTCGTGTAGTACGTTCATAAGTATGTGTATAATAGTCGAGGAAGGCCTTGAGAGTCTTTTGACCACAAATCGAGGAGCACGCATGTGTGTCAGTCGAGAGAGAGAGAGAGAGAGAGAGAGAGAGAGAGAGAGAGAGAGAGAGAGAGAGAAAGAGAATTATGAAAAATATTTTTGAAAAGTGAAAATATTGCCATAGAAGGTTAAGCAGGAAAACATATTTCTATTAATGGGAAACAACCAAACACACTAGTGTAAATTAAGGAAGGCAATGAAGATAAGGCCCCCGGTGGGTGAGAGCTTACTGGCCTCGGAACCCCCACCCCCTCCCCCTCCCCCGGCCGGCGGAGGTTCGATTTTGAAGTACCCAGATTTTGGAAGGGCTTCCAAAATCCACAATAGTCACGTCACACTTGTGGCATATAGAAGAACCGTCGGCGGTATGCCCAGAAAAATGAAATCCCTCCAACAACATTCGCCCTAACGAGATCGCACTTCCCCGACAGTTCGGATATAGTAACCGAAACCGTCATCTGGCGAGGAAAGTGCGAGGCAAATTCCAAGCGAATTAGAGAACTTTCTGCAAGGCGCGCCTGCCTGATATAGTTCCCTCACCCGGGTCGGATGTAGGCTTCTAAACTAGCCTGGGTCGAAAACTCAAGAAAGGCAACGGGAAACAACCCTGAGTAGTTCATTCCGAAAAAATCCACAATGGGTCATCTAACTTACATTTGTGGAAAATAAGACTGAAAAAAAGGAATGCAGAAGATGGAAACAACAATTTTTCAACAACAAAAAAAGGCAATACTTCAAAACCATTTGTTTTATTTTTAAAATACAAGTTATTTTATCACCCAAAAATAAATAATGTATATTGTAGTTTTGTATAAAGGTAATCTTTTGTAAAAACTATTGGTATTAATACATAAATAAGGGTAGAAAAAATTTTCTAATATAAATGTTTGTGTGAATGGGAGAAGAGAATAATTTTGACAACAAACACAAGCCTTAACCCTCCAGCAGTCACACTATTTTGAGACGGGAATGGTCACGGTGGACAGAGTCCAAAAGTGAATAAAGGAAAAACAGATAAGTCAAATTACCCTATGGTTATTTATATCTAGGTAGGAACCTACATAGATAAGGCTCGCAAGTATTAAAAATAGATTAATAACAAGTTATTGTCAATGGAAGACTAATTTTGTAACTTGAATCTCTGGAGAAGTGTTTCAAAGTTTATGTACTATATGGAAGAATTTTTTAAACACACGTTTAAAAAATCGAATGAGAGAAAAAACTAAACAGAAATAGAACACCACACATATAATTTTAAACATTTCATTCACTTTATTCATACATATATTTTTTCTTTATACAAATATTCTGAGCAAAAGATGTAAGGCTAGTAGTTGCGATAGACTGAGGAGCCTGCCATCACTAATAATTCTAAAATCACCACATTGATCAAGCAGAAATGAAAGAATTGTTGAGACCATTGTTTGTAGAAAAGGCATTGAAAACATGTGATTCCCGAGAACAAATACATTAAAAGGAAAAATTAAAATAAATTTGTGCAAAATTTCTGCATGACTACTGTAGGGTTAAAGAAATAGGAGGAAATACGAAGAAATAGGAGGTCTACAGGTCATGAAAAATCTGAAATCACTGACCTCATTTAAAACAATAACTGAGAATTATAAGCTAATGAAAATTGTCTATACTTGAAATGGTATCACTCATTAGCAAACACATTAACATAAATGTGTCTAAAATGAACATAATTTTACATTTCTTATATCAGTAGTAAACATCATTCTTCTCAAAGTTGTAATTCATTTTATTTGAGAAATATTGAGAAACAAAATAGACATAATGGCAGTGTGCCTGTCTAAGTCATTTTCTAAAGACTTAGGTAACATATTATTTCAGAAATGATGGCATGTGTTACCAATCTTTCTTTAATTTAGTTGCAGGTAGTTATTTCTCAAATCTACCATAATCAGAAAGTTCACATAATCAGGCAGTCAATCTTCCGTAGCAGTAATTTCAGTCCATAATTATTTATAACTGCAAAAAATCAGGATTATAAGTATTTTGCATGTCTGTCCTGAGACAATTATTACAGGCACAACCAGGGCTTGATTTATAAAATTTTAGGCCCAGAAATGCACCTGAAAGTATTAATAAATTTCATGGATATAATTATGTATAATATAATTGAATTATAAGAAATCATACTTAAAAACATTTAGTAATAGTGGTAACCTCTATTTGAATATAACTATAACAACAACAAACAATAATAATAATAATAATAATAGGAATTAAAAACAAGATTTATAATGATAATTTTTTTTACTAATAATGTACATTCGTAGAAAAGTAATAGTTAGTTGCCAAGTGTTTGTTCCTTGCTTTTTGTTTGTTTGTTTTTTATATTCCATACATACATACGGAGTAATTTACGTAGTATAGGGAAAGTTATGTAATGCTGAGAGATATCAATTTCCAGATTTCAATGGAAATACACGTTTTGGGGTCATCCAATACCAAATACTTTTGTTTGTTTGTTTGCCTCCACCATACGTAGTATTTTTTCCAAAACAGATATTCCCTGATTGATATGGTTCCACTTGAGGTGCTGTGATTTTGAAAAGTCTTCTTCAAAATTTGGGGGTACTTTACACAAAGCCCCCTGGACATTTTAAAATTTTCTCAAAAACGGTTCAAATTTTTTCTCTAAATTTCTTGTAAAAATAAAGTAAAATACAATTAAATAAGACGGCATATATTTAATTCTCAGGGTTAACTCTGAAGTTCCGAAAATTTTGAAATTTTTTGGGCGTCTTCCTACAACTCCAAAATGGAAAATAATTTTTTTCTTTAAATAAAATTTGTTCTATATAGCGAGTTCTTTTATTAAGGTCTGTACATTTTTTGAAATTTTTTCTAGTTTTCCCGCAATATGTGATTTTGTAATTTTAAAAAATTACAAAAAGATTTTCTAAAAAATAGTTTCAATTTTTTTCTTTAACTTTTGGTAGGGATAGTGCTAAATGTACTCTATAAGATGACATAAGCGACATACTGCTCTATTATTTAGTTTCTTTACAAAAAATTAATTTTTTTGACTTATCTCTCACAACATTAATATTTCTAAGAAAACAACAGTTTTCTGTGAAAACTAGATCAAAAGTTTCAGAAACATTCAAGCGCCATTTACTCAAAAATGGCTCCAGATTTTTTCTTCACACTTTTCAAATGGATAGTGCTAATTGCACACTGTAATATGACAAAGTTAATTTTGGGGTATTTTTCTTTTGTTTTTTCAAAAATTACACAAAAGGAATTTTTTGAAAGAGCTTTCAGGCCATCAATATGCTATTTTCCAACACTTTGTAAACACTATTGTATTTGCGAGTTAAAATGCTTCAAATGACTTCTAATGAAGTTTTTCAAAAACTCAAAAATTGTCTGTGAAAATGTCGAATTTACAGTACCGCTTAAACACAATTTTCTTAAAAACGGTTGTACTTTTTTTTTTGAAGAAAATTGTCATTTTGGACAAGGTTTTTCTGTTCTTTAGTATTCTTAATATAATATTTCCATTCTACTATTAGGAAACTGAAAAATTAAGAAAATTTGAAAACAATGTACTTTGGGTGATGGCAGCTGGCAAGAGTATGCGACATGTCCAAATAGCTAGCCAAGGCCAAAGGAAATCGCAAACTAATACGGGAAAGTCTGAGCCTTTATGTAGCACCACTAGTTCTATTTTGTTTCCAAAGTACTGACACGCAGTTGCACGAGAAATGAAGCTCTGGCCGTAACCATATATTGAGAGAACGCTTTCGATATTCACATGTGAACATTCCTTTTCATTAAATAGGCAATTTACAAGTTTGTCAATCTTCATTTTTCTAAATTAATCAGAATCTCAGGATAATTTGTACTAAGCAATTCTCTCAAATGAGCAATTCCAATTCAAATAAACTTTCTAAATTGTTCAATTCTCTTCATACTGAAATGAGGCAGACAAGTACTTCAACAGTAATATCTAGTGAGCATTTAGAGCATTTAGGATAGAGATAAAACAAATTCTTTATTTTTACTTTCTTGTGTATTACTATATATGCAAGTTATGAAATGCTGAAAAATAATCAATATTGAGATTTTGATGGAAATATGTTTTGGGAGTCCCTAATTCCAAAAAGTAAGGTTTTTACCAAATGTCTCTCAATCTGTGAGAGAATTTAAACTGTACAGAGGCTTTTCCCAAAAACTGATGGTTTTTTCTGATCAAAGTCTAATATACAGGAGCAATACCGCCTCCCCAGTGGGCAGAAGAGTCTTCTCTGAGGGTGGTAGCGGTTACCGAGGCAAATGGCAGTTACCGAGGCAAGAGGGACGTGGCTGTGGCATACCTACCCTATCAACATCAAACTATTTTTAAAATATTTATGTACATTTAAAAAATATTTATAAAAAACAGTTTACAAAACATTGCTTGTGTGACTAAGACTACGTTGTCTACAGTCCAGATCTCTCTCTTTATGCAATGACTGCAGTGGTCAAGGTGATTTTGCAAGATAATTTCAGCATTGCAAATATACAAGTTAGTACATATGTGCACAAATCAAATCTATAAAAGGAATAGTTCTAGGAATGTTTTAATATTTTCATGTGCTTCTCCATGATAAATAGTCATGTGTGATAAGTGATAGAAGACATTATAAACATTATTATTGATATTCTTATTATAACTATCTATAGAATTGTTGAGAAGTTAATTTGTATTTCAAAATGTTTGAATCTACATCCAAAAAGAAACCTGTATTAAAATACGGATTTACTTGCTGTCCTAGAACCAATCTTTGCCCATGTTTAATGGTATGTTGAATTTGCCAAAAAGATTTTAAAAAGAATGAATCTCTGAAACCTACGCTTCAAGAGCATTTAAATAAAATTTGTGCTAATAAGAAAAACAAAGATTTATCCTATTTTAACGGACTAAAAAAGCAACGTTGCACTAAACTTTTTTGTGTTGTCTTCTAAAAAAGAGATGGTGATGGACAATGGGCCTCATTTTCATTGTTAATCATAAAAGCAGGAAAACCACACAATCAGCGAGGAATTTGTTTTGCCAGTCAAAGACATAATAGAAACTCTTCTTCATCATAAGACGCCATCAGATATTATCAGAAAAGTTCCTCTTGGTAATAAATCAGTGCAAAGAAGAATAGAGGAAGTAACGTTGAAATACTAAATGAAAGTCTAACTAATTTTCCATTCAACTCTTTGAATCAACTTTACCAAATAACAAAGCTCTACACTTATAATTTGTTCAATTTATAAAAGAAGAAAAAAATAATTAAGAGTTATTTGCCAAAAGTTTGGAAACTGATGCAAAGAGAGACTAAATTTTATACCATGCACACTTTTTTCAAGAAAAAGGAATTCCTCTTTGTAATATTTTGTCAACTGCCACTGATAGTGCTCTAGTAATGACAAGGCATCATAAAATTTTCTTTGTGAAATTGAAATAAACATTATCAAATTTACACACTGTTCATTGTTATTCACAGTCAGCATTTGATGCCCAAAGTTTGAATGAATGCCAGCATATGTCACTCCATTATTTTATTAGAGCAATCAATAAGATTAGAAACAATTCATTGAATTACACATTATTTGGTCAGCATTGCAGTGAAAATGACGATTTCAATATCTTCCTTCTGTGCACGGAAGTACAATGGCTTTCTAAAGGTTTTTTCAATGTATTTGACCCAGTACTAAACATTCTTGAAGACAAAGAAGAAAAATTGCATGAAAACATGATTCTATTGAAAAATAACATCGCTTATTTGACATACGTGTTTAAATCATTTAACACAATTAATTTAAAATTGTAAGGTTACAAGTTGAATTTAATTACAATAAAAAAATGTCAGAGCTGATTTTGCAGACAAAACAATTTCAAATGAAATTGAGTTCAAATGAAATTGAGGTAGAAGTTTCCCACATTATCCATTCCTGTTTAGCAGTCCCTGAAAACGAAGATTAACTTACTTCTGCCAACAAATGGACCATCTTCATGCTGATTTTCAATATTTTAAAACTGAATATACAGAGTTGGGTTTTAGATACTGTTGCAAATGCACATACTGAAGATTAATCAAATTTGGAAGAGGAACTTTGTAGACCTTACAACTAACAAAGAACTGAAACGTTGAAACCAAGAGTTTGGACTTGAAAAATCAATACCAGTTCCTTACCCTGGGTTGCGGGCTACAGTACAGGAGTTTTTAATCAGATTTCCTAAATCCTACATGGCTGAGTGTTGGTTCAATGCAGTAGCTAATTTACCGTCACCGTCAAAGAAGAGGAACATACCACACATCACTGAACGTGGTCATTTACAACTAATGATAACAAAGGTGGAACCAGACACCATCAAATTGTTAAAACTTCATCAGCATTAACTATGTTATTCTTTATTTATTATTAATTTTATTTCTTATTCATTATTTATATTATTTTCATTTTGTTTCTCGTTCATTTTATTTATTATTTTATTTCTTATTCATTTTGTTTTTATTTTCAAAATTTAATAAATAATTTTATTTCTAATTTGATAGTTGTTTCATTGATCTCCACTGTGTTTTTAATAGATAGATGAACATAAAAAATATCTCTTTCCTCCTTGAGAAACTATAATTATTACACTTTTTATACATATCAGTAAATGGAGTGATTGATTGTCCACTTTTGCTGGGACAATTGAGATTTTGTGTTCCCTCCGCTTCAAGAAGAAATTAAATTTTTTCACTTAAACTATATACAACTGTTTATACATCCAATAATCTGATTTCATGGATTGCAAATTAGCAAATAACCTTTATATTGATCTCCGGGAACCTTCCCATCCCAACTTTACAACAGATACGAAAAATAAGCTATTACTTTTTAATTAACATTTAATGCTATTACTGAATTTGATATGAGATTAGTTATATCATTGTTACTTCATTAGCTATCCTACTCACATGTTAACACAATTCACATATTTAACTTTGTATATTGGATGAGAATCCGTAAATAAATAAATAAAATAAATACAAATTAGGTACATATTATACGCAATAACAGTTTGATACATTTAAAAGTAACCAGTATGGACTTGGAATTCTTTCTTTTTCAACAAGGGGTGGTGGTCCAGTAGGGAACCTCCACTTTAGGCCCTGCAAAGGGTATAGAGGAATAAGATAGGTGAATTTGGCCAACATCCGAACAAGAACAGGATAATATTATCTTATTCTAATCTAAAAATTATCCAGAAAAAAAAATAATTTATAATTAATTATGTTACTACATTTTCAAAATTTCGAAGGTTTATAGCAAATTACACTTATGCTGTATTTTAAAGAACACTTAGCTCTATTTGAGAAAAAAATTGAAAGAAAAACAGTTGGAACCACTCTTTCATACATTTTGACAGTCTTAGATGCTTCTTATAAAATAGCCTAAAAAATTAAAAGAGGATTCCAAATTTGCGGGATTTGGACATCACCCAGATTCATTTGGAAATATTCATTTGGGCGACAATCCTGTATATACTAGAGGCACTAATGTTCACGCGCAGATAGGCAGATATTTTGAGAAAAAATGCTTTTCTGGTTTTAAGGACCAACATATAGCGGATTTCAAATACACTACTTATATAAGATAGTAAATTACTAGACATAGGAACCAGAAAAATCCATTTCTTCAGTACATTATTTCTCCAAAATATTATTTCCATCAAAATCTCGAAATTGTTTGCAGTATTACATAACATTCTAAACATTAAGAATTCGAGAAAGTAAGGAGGTAAAATTTGTAATTAATTATAATAACAATAACAATAATAATAGATTATGATTGTGATTATAATACTTATTGCATTACCTCTGCTTGTGTTTCCAATTTTTACTTTTCCAGCCAACAAATTATTCTAATCAACATAAATCACTTCCTCCTCTTCCTTTTTTGCAACTTTTCTAAAATTGTATCAAGTGATTCCGAACCTCTTTTCAACACATACGCAGTAGCTTGCAGTCCACCTAAATTGATTGTTGCAATTCTCACGATGGACCACAATGAACCATAAGCTCGTATGGTCTGAAATATTTTGGAAAATTTAAGAAATACCTTACCAATTATGCAAAAATTAAAATAAAAAAGCCTAATAAATATCCATGCATAAAAATATTAGAAATTAACATCTCCAAAGGCTACTTCTCGATAGGGTGAATCTTCTAAATCTACCAGCAATAACCCCAGACAACAAATTATTAACTTTTCTTTTTATGTTAACTTTAATATCATGTCAAGATTATTCTGATGACACAAAATTTTTTAACCAAAGTATTTTATTCCCAGGAACCGGAAACAAAAATTAAATCATCACTGCCTTTGTTTTTTCCTTCTATGCTGTTCTTCAATAATGTTCAAAAGATTATTCATAAACTTAAACATTTTTGAAATAGATGGAAGACTAAATAGGTAGAAGCAAAATTTCATCTTGTTCATACATGATTCTTTTAAGACAGAAAAGTATATGTAAGATGCATTACAGAGACAAGAAATCAGACTGATCTACTATTCTTGGAGGTTTTAAAACTTGGCTAATGCAATAGACATTTCTTCAAAATTAAACATTTTATTTCTTCTTCTAAAATGATATCTGATTTTGAAAACAAAATCCAAGTTCTTTTTTTAATAACTCATATGCATCATACACATAATTTATATACATATAATTGAAGACTGTAGCTCCGAAAAGTGCTGTTACATTAGGATTTGCAGATGGAAAGAACATTTAAACCAACATACCCTAGTGAGGTTTGCTCTGTCCCAAGTAAGGCACACAGCACGTCCGGAAGGAACAATGCAGCGCCCCATTTCCAACATAGCTTTCTGGTACAAATTCTGGTTGTTTTGTTTTGATCCACTGCGCTTTCCGAATGGCTATGGCAAAAGAAATATTTAAATCCACAATAAAATAAGAGACAATAATGTGTGTGTGTTTCTATCACTCGCATGCTCAATTATTCAAACATTTACTTATCAGAAGTTCCTTAATTAATTCTTTTTCAGTATAATTAAGGGATGCCCATGTAAGTACTTATTACAAGACATGAATAGGGCACGCCCCACATTAGATATGCTAATGTTCTTAACAACATCTCAGACCTAACATCGCCAAATGGGTGCACAGACGTCATGGGAATAAGAACTTTACTTAACGCAGTCTTTTACAGACCATGGGTGTTTTAGGAGTTATCTTTATGACTATAAGATCGTCAAAACCCCAATGTGTGTCATTTGTGAAGATGCGGTTGATGGCGTTGTGCACACCTTGTATCAATTCAAGGATTGGGAAGGAGCAAGACTTAACTGTAATAATGATCTGCAATTGATGTTGACCATGGATAACACAGTAGAAGCAATGTTAAAACCACCAGAAACGTGGCGTATCTTGGAAAGTTTCATCACAACTATATTAAATAAAAAGAGAAAGTAATTAAGTCATAAAGTCGATGAACCCACAAGGTACAGTGGAAACCAAACTCCTTCGATTCTAGATCTAGTGCTGGTAAATGAAGAAGATATTATCATCCCTCCTATCCTGAGACCAAGTATCGGGTAGAGTGATCCCCTGGTAATTGTCACAATCTTACAAGTAGAAACACAGGAAAAGGAAGAGCACTTGGAAAGATCCAGTGATAAACCGAACTTCTTTAGAGCAGACTTTGATTCAATACTGAAACATCTCAAAGACCATGTATCTACAAACTCAAGAAACTAAGAGAACAAAGAAAAAGACGTTGAAGAAATGTATGGGGAGTTCTGTGATGTCTGATAAATCACTCACCAAGATATAGAAAGAAAAGAAATATTAGCAAACCATGGATTACTTACAAAATGAAAAAGGAAATCGGAACCAAAAGACGAGCTTGGAAGAAATACAAGAGAACTGGTGCAGATAAACATCATGAAGAATCCCGAACAAACTCACATTCGACATAAGATCCGGAAGAGAAAATCATGAAAAACAAGTTGTGCAAGATGGAAACAAAAGGTTTTATTCGTATATTGGGAAACAGACCTCTTGTAAAACAGTACCACCAAATACGATTCAAAGTAATGGACTTCAAACATCCAAACCAGAAGAAATCGCAGAACTTTTTGCAGAGTACTTTGAAATGGTATATACAATCAAAAGTAAAATTTTGAGCCATTTTTTTGAGAAAATCTTGGTTTAAAAACTGTCTTTATTTCACACAAATTATTGAGAAAGCTATTTATTTTGGAAAATAATATATAATATATATTATATATATATATATATATATATATATATTATATATATACTATCTATGATTATGAAGAACAATTAATATTATAGAAAATATTACAATTTAATAATGCAGTTGTACTAAGATGCCAAAAAAATTTTCAACATTTCAACTTTTGAAAATTTGGAGAGTTCAATGAAACTCAGACCTGTGCTACTTTTAAAAGTGTACTTTGTTATATCTGAGAAAAACTTTTAAGAAAAATGTGGAGCTGTTTTTTGGAAGAAAAAAAAAATCATTAAGGCCCTGAGACTTTATGAAAAATACTCCAAATATCAAAATCCTATGATTGGCATAGGAAAATCCTATGATTGAGAAGTGATGTCCATGGACACGGACGAAATCAGGCAAATGACAGACCCAGCACATTACAGAAATGACAAACACAGACATAACAGGCACAACAGACAGAGACGCTCATGGCACAAACGTAATAACTCGTGACACGTGATTTGAAATACAAATTATGGTCATTAAAGGTAAAAGAAAAGGTTCTGAAAATACATACAGAAGGTGCTACTGAGACAACTATATTAAGGTTTAAATCAGTTACATGAACTGAGTTTCAAGTATATAAGTATTACTTGGCACCAAATTTTGTTTCTTTACACAATCCATCAGATGTGGTTCAAAGTCTTTTATCAAACACTGTACTAGATAGAAAACTGTGAAACAATTGCCAGTACTGACTGTACGTATTTTTCCCGCCTATCCCAAGAGGAAGAATGTACTTCACAGGTGTGTCAAACTGCACCCGCAGAAGCACTTGCCCTCGTGGAAACTTGGATTCACCTGCAGGAACAGGGAACTTCCCCTCTCCTTTCCCCTCAAAATCCACAAGCACTGCCAGTGGTCTTTTAGTACTGATGGCAATGCTAAACATTTTCCTCGGGTCACACAAGTGGATTTCTACACACGTGATTAGACTTGCTGGATAGCACTTGGAATAAGGGTTAAACTGTTGCTGCAACAAAGTTGAAATTTAAATTTGATTTTACAGCTGCAGATTGACAATTGTCACTGCAATATAAATTACTGGTGGTTTACGTAAATGATATTTTAATGTTCATTTAATAATGTTGACTTCTGATTAAAAGAGATATTAAAAAGCTGTTTAAGAAGAGAAAAAATACAATTCTGTCCAAAGGTAGAAAAGAGTGGAGGAAAAGGTGCGGAATCATAATAAAAAAAAAGAGAGAGAGAGAGAGAGAGAGGACAGAGAGAGGCAGATGACAGACACAAATAAATAACAGATATAGAAGTCAAAAGACAAACCAGACACACAGATTTGACACAGATATGACAAAGAGACAGTTTTGCTCTTAACCAATTTTGAGGAATGAACGACTCACAAAATGAGGACAACAACAAATTGGAGGAAGTAATTTACTACATATCTAGTTAGAAAGAGTAGGTTATGAAGCTTCTAAAAAAGTTGATTTTTTTATACATCAGAGGCATACAATATCAAAAATATGGTAAAATGTTGACAAAAAAAAATTGGGTGAAGTTGTGAAAATCTTCTAATGTTCTATACAATGCAGCCCAGGGCCAAACAAATCACTATATCTCAAAAACTAGTTCACCAATAAAGTTATAACTTCACAAAACTTCCTTTGAAACACGTGGGCTCGGCACACAAACTTCCAATAAAATCCAAGATGGCTATGTGGGGCACTTCTTCAAAATTAGACCACTTGACATGGAAGGACCCTAAACCTTTTTTAAAATAGGTAGGGAGAGGTATTCATTTATATTAAAAATGTGTAAATTACATGTAGATAGATTTTCTGTAAACGCTACGCCTAAAAGAACTGTTGTAATCTCAACAAAATATTCTTAGGCGCCAACCCAAGAATTACTAACATCTGTGTCCACAAACATTTGACTCGCAATTGTCTGTGGACAAGCACTGTCAAAGACACATTACCCAGCAGAGGGGAATTTTGGAAATATAACTAATAAAACATTAGCATGGTAAAAAGTATATCCAGTTAATATTCTAGAGTTAAAAAATATTATTAAAATACCAATACCTAAATCTTCTCACAACAAAAAAACTGTCTTTACTATGAAACAATTATATGCATCGTCATTGCCAACAATATTATATTCTATCTTTACTAACCAAATCCGTGACTATAATATCCACACATGCATTTCTTAGCGGCAAATTAGTAACATCCCAATGACTTAGATCTATATATCCTTTCCTTTCAAATCTCATATTCTGAATATTTTCAAAAGCTCTTGAAATAGCCATTGGATGAATATCACCGGCCATATTGTAACAACCAGGCAAAGCCATTGCACCCTGCAATTATAAAAAAAAAGTTATTGCCACAGAGATCAATTCCAGGCCAAAAATATTAATGACAATAAACACAATTTTATCTCTTCCTGAGTTGAACTTTTCAATTCATAGGAATAAAATCCAAACAAAATTCACAAAAATACAGGTCTCCAACTTTCCTCCCTAACAGTAGTCTCTTTAATATTTATGCTTTCTAAATACTTTTATGTTAGGAAACATTATTTATGCACAATTTTACATTCTCGCATATGTTCCTTTTTTATCACAATTTTCTGTACATTTACTTTTTGTATATTTTGGAAATTGTTTTGTTTCAAGTGAATTTACATAAATCAGAGACCCACCCCAACAATCAAATTTTAATACCTAAACAAGGGCATGGGATCCATTCATCTTCAGGTAATTATAGTAAAAGAATATTAGAGTAGTGAGAGCTGGGGTAATGAATACTTCATAAATAAATAATTTATAAAAGTAAGCAATAGAAAGTAATATTTACCTCAACTGGAATAGAACCACCTCCACACAATGGGTCCAGAATTATGTCCCCAGGATTTGGAGATGCCAATCGTAGCAGATTGTAACAGACTGTAGCTCGTAATGTAGTAGGCCCAAAATTAATTATATTCCGTCTATGCAGAGAATCAGGTGTTAAAGAAATTCCCAAATACACTAGATCTGTAAATGAATGAATATACTGATGTACTATACATTTCCACTGTTAATTGCTAAATATATAAAGGTAAATTTAAAACTGTAACCATTATTTGATTGTTAATAAATATATAACATCAACCCATAAGACAGATTTCTGGTGAAAACACAGTAGATATGATGTTCAAGAAAAGTGTTATGAATCTCATTGCATAATCTCTAAACTAGTCATGGAGATTGACAAGGAATACATTCTTAAAAAAGTGAGATGGAGAAAATACAGGGAGGCTCAAATAAGTATTACTAACACAATGACACTCACAGAAAACTTAACATCTTTACTGTACAACCCATTTTAACTGCAATAAACTGAATACAATTTTATTATAAGCTTACATGCACTTGTTTGGCAACATTTAAATAATTGTGTTCACTTTACAGAAATTATATTAAATTTCAATCAAAACTTGTTACACGAACCATTATAATATGGATTTTATTACTCACTTTCGTAGTGAAATAATACTACAATATTTTATTCACATTATGTAACACCCCTCTGTGTTTAAAAATAGCGAACTACATATCTACTATAAAAAAAACCTACTTACTATAAAAAAAAATCAGTGTACGTAAAAAGTTCTGGTCTGCACAGATGCTACTTTTTAGGTCAAAGGTGAGCTCAACTCCCCACACCAATTACTCTCTGAATTTCTATATTTAAAAAAAATTGATTTTCAAGATCAGTGGCAACAAAATTTTGAAAATAATGCAAAGAAATCCAAAACATTTTTCGCATTTTTTTCTTAATAATTTTATTCATATACACAAAATGTATCAAATAGTTTCTAGGAAATAATTTCAATAAACTCTAAAAATGAAAGTAGCAATCACACAGCTAGCAGACAGCGCAGATAGGGGGATGTCCATTGTGAACCTTTCATTATTAAAGCTCATTGCCAGGTACTCAAGATGCTAAACAAGTGATTGCACAACCCTGCTTTGGTGAAGGCCCCCCATGACAGTTCAACATTAATCATTGTTTTTCAATATTAACAAAAAACTGTCTACTTTAAAACAGAGTATACATTTCTCATTACCTTTTTTTTTCTTCTTTCTTTTCTTTTTCATATACAAGGTGTATATGAAGTTTATAGACTTCGAAACTGTACCCTATCCCAATAACCAATTGACAGAGGCCCAATATGGATTCATAGACCTATATACACAGATATTTTCTCCTTTCTTAATGACATACTTGAATGACAGGAAATTTGGTCTGTTTCTAGATTTATCAAAAGCATTTGGCTATTATCAAAACTTGAAACTTCAGGAATCTGAGGCATTGCATATCAATGGGTAATATCATACCGTTCGCATAAAAAGATTTTGATTAATTTCTCTCTACCTAGAATGATACAATACATAGTATACTAGCACATAAAATACTATCTTTTATACATCAAATCTGACTGTAAAACAACAAAATAATTCTATTTCCAGCCAAAACAGACATTATCAAAGTAAATGCTCAACAATCATTACAATAAGCACAAAAGGTTCTAGAAACACTAGTAAAATGAAACTTATCATAAACTTACATAAACCCCAGAAAAATTGTCTCCATGAACTTCAGGCATCCACTCTCTAAAGAGAAGCAACCAGTGCAAGACATCAAAAAGTAGTAGTCTGCTAAAACATGCCTTTAACAACAGCCCCAGAAACAACTTTCCTTGGATTGACTATTCAAGACGATTTAAGATTTAACTCTCATGTTACAGACCTAAATAAGTAGCTCGCCAATTTATGTTACTCATGTTATACACCCTCAAGTCAAATTCTAATTTGAATGCATTTGAACAGCGTACCTGGCAAATATACATTCACATGCAAAATATGGTATCATTTGGGGAAATTCACCAGAAAGTATCCATGATGCTGCAAATTTTCACATTTTCTCAATTTTTAAGTTTCCTAGAAATATGACTAAGAATATTACAAAAGAATTAAGAATAGTACTAAATACAAATTTTGTGTTGAAAAATGTCATGCCTTTTAAGAAACTAATGTTTGAGCGTACCTGAAAATGAGGAATTATAAGCTCATTTGGAAAGAAAAGTTTTCAGTTTTCAAGAAACTGTACATAACATATTTAAAGCCCTTGTACTCACAAATGAAATCATTTTTACCAATCTCTGGCAATGTAAATATTATGTGACAGATATAAAAAAATTACATTTGGGTAATTTTTCAAGATCAAAAGAACACAGCAAAATGACATTTGTGTAACCTTATGCAGAGTATTTAGCACTAACTGAACAAAATATTTTAAGAAAAAATTTGGAGCACTTTTTGAAAAAATCTTGTTTTTAATATAGCTTATATTTTACTCAAAATTGCATTAAAACTACAGTACAATCTGTCTAAACTGGAATCGATTGGGACAAAAATATTCCTGTTTCAGGAGGTTTTTATTTTATGCAATGTTGTCCATTTTACTTGTGACATGATATTTCTGTCCTGAAACTAGTACATTACATGACTTCATTACAATTATTAAAATACATTAAGATATAATGTATTAATGAAAGAAATTGATATTAAACAATCTTCATTGATACCTTCTGAGTTTCTCCTGCTTCACAAGTTTCATCTTTTAAACAAGGTTAGAGTTTTATGGTTTTTGCAACCATTGTTAAATTGGTTGTGAAACTAATTCAAATACATATTGCCTCATTGCTCAGTGGCTGCAGTCGGACTGCTTGCTGACTCTTTCAACGCAAATGAATAATAGCCAAGAGAACATGATTTTCTGATACACTTACATGATCTTGAGCAATGCATCTCTGGCTAAGGGGTTATGATTTTCTATGTGGGCCAGGGACGAGCGTGAATAGAAGCTATGCCCATTCACCTTTCCGCTTTCAGAGAGTCAAAGGGGAGGGAATTCCCTTACAGCCTATGCTCTCAGAGACAAGCGACCCCACAGTCAAATTCTACACTAAGAACTCAAGCACCTCTACTTCACTGGGTGGCTGTCACAACTAAATTGTATGGCACAGGGATAGAAAATTTAAAATACACTTGCAGATGCATTCATTTCATTATGAATATTTCATGCCTCTCTGCCAATTGCATTAAATTCAAAAGAATTCCATTTCATGAAGGTATTTTCCCATGTAGTGCAGAATTCCAATACGTATTTCCATCCGTATTGGAAAAGTTCCATTTTACACTGTGTAAAATGCTATTTAATATCAGGGGCCAGAGAAATTTTCCTGTTCAGACAGGTTTCCGGCTTGTACAGGTTCTAGTTTAGAAACAACTAATTGAACTAATGATTTCAAAAAAAGGTACAGACAATAATGAAAAACTAATTGTGTCCAACAAACTTTACTTGAAGAAAAAATTTTAATTTTCAATATTGTAGTCGTAAAAAGATGCTGAAAACAATACAAACTTTTGAAATTCTCAAAAATTCAGAATAAACTGTGGAAATTGTTCCTATACTATCTTTAGAAGTGTATTTAACTCTATTTTTACAAGAAATTGGAAGAAAAAATTGTAGCCATTTTTGAGAAAATTTTGAAAAGGTCCCAGGAGGACAAAAAAAATCCAAAATTTGAAGAATGTTTTTCGAAATTGCGTACCTTTGAGTTGGGCCAAGGAATATACATTTTGGAAAAAAATCCTATGAATAGCTTAGACGCTGTTCACAGAAAGGAGCGTTTTGAAAAGAAAAGAAAGGAAGAAAAAAAAGAAAAGAAAAAGAAAACACTTTTTCAGTATCCGAAGACCCTAAAATGTGTAATTTTATTGAAATAGATTTTCCACATTACCCTACACCTACACTAAGTATATCTCTCCTTATATATGTACATATATGAGAAAGTAAAAACAAATATTGAGAACAATGACACAAGCACAATTTCGTAAAACAATGGTCAAAAAATTAATCCTTCTACCCACATGTATGTACATATTTGAAAGAGTAATCTTCACAAAGACCTTCATGAGAAACAAGGATTCTGTTACTTCAAATGCAGAAGTTCATAACTATGATACTACAAAAAAACGTCAAAAGTCCCTCATACGGAAACTGCATTCTTCCAAAAATGTGCCCATGTAAAATGAATTACATTATATAAAAACTCTCTAATGAATTTAAAAACTGCAATTCAATTCATACATTTCAAAAAGAGCTCTGATACGACGTCTATGAATTTATTTTACACACGACAATGCCTCTGTGGACTTCTTTTGAATCTTGAAATTGTATCAGTGAAAACGGAATAATAAATTTCGGTCTTCACATTTGTGTAATGACCAGAATGGAAGAGAGAATAAGAAGGAACTGAGAAGGGTGCATCATGTGCAGACAGCTATGTCCTCAAATAGGATCACAGGCTATGGACGAACATAGGATGAGATTTCTCTTGAGCGGACAAGTCTGTCAGCATCAAAGAAAAATATCAACAATCTTCACAGGTATCACCGTTTCACTTTTAGATTTTGAACACAACCTGACATTGATGCATCTGCATGTACAGAAAGACAATACACAACCATGCCTTCACATTGTCCAGGCTTGCAGGTATGTTATCAGCTTGATAGAGATCAATGCCAGGAGGTGGGAAAAGGGGAAATAATGATGAAAAAGGCAGAAAAGGCACAAATAAGCCAAAATGCCCAAAGTAGGCAACAGAAGCTAAAATAGGCAAAATGAAAATCTACTAAAACAAATCCAGAAGTGCAATTAAGTGATTGCTATTGTTAAAAGTCATAAAATTGTAATACTAATACTAATAATACTAATACTAATACTAATACTAATACTAATACTAATACTACTAGTCGTAGTAGTAGTCTAGTATAGTATATACTAGTACTAGTAGTAGTAGTAGTAGCAGTAAGCAGTAGCAGTAGCAGTAGCAGTAGCAGTAGAGTAGCAGTAGCAGTAGCAGTAGAGTAGCAGTAGCAGTAGCAGTAGCAGTAGCAGTAGGCAGTAGCAGTAGCAGTAGCAG